GGAGCCTGCAGCAGCCCCTCTCCTCCCTCCTCCATTGAGTGTGCCAAACAGCAGCTCTGCATCCTAAAGAAGATCATTGAGGGGCTCATTGCATTCCCAGCACGTCTCAGGCTAGAGAGGGAGAGAGAGAGACACAGAGAGGGAGAGACAGAGAGAAACCAGCAATCTTTAAACTCGAGCTTTTTTTCCCCCTTCCCCTCCTTTTTTTTTTTGTAACGATGTGCTAAAATCTCTCCTGCAAACCGGTAAGTACAACCTTTCTGGATCCTTTTGTTTCCGCCTAGGGTCAAAGACACCCCCTCTTCCAAAAAGAAGATATAATAATCCTCTTTATTTATTTTTTTATTTTTTATTACAGCCCTTGCAGAAGAGAAAGAACTTAAGTGGCTAATATTTTGCAAAGGAGACAGAGAGACTGATACTGCAATATAGCTCTCATCTCTCTCCCTTCTTCCCAATTAGATGCTGATTTTAATTGCGGAGGGTATTTCTCTTTTCATGCTTTCAACCATCTCCTCTTTCCCACAGGGGAGGGTTTCATTTGCAAGTTGATCCCAAGGATTTCTGTTCCTCTGGCATTTCTCTCCCCTAAATGCATCTTTCTGCTCTTAAGTTTGTGGATGGGGGGCAAAATTTTCTAGTTCTTACACGAGGAAGGCAAAAAGGACCTTTTCTTTTGAAAGATTAAGACTAAAAGCAACGATCGCTCCGAATAATTCTAATGGGCGTTTCAGTGATTCAAGGAAGGCTGCATCACCGCCGTTATTATTACCATCCTTAGCATTTCTCTGTGCCCATACATTTAAAATATCTGGTGAAAGGAAGGGTGAAACCATATGTTGAAGGAGCTGCATCTCATTAGTACAGTATTATTTTCATCTGATTGGAGAAGAATGGTGTCTTCATTCGGAAACGTATATAGTAGGATAGATAATTGATCGGCTGGTAAGTGTCAAGGTATTTTTTTTTCTTCCACTTTCAGCTTTTTAACCGGGTCTCCTGCTTGGTCCTGGGGGCGCAAAATACCCTAATCCAAGGCAGGCTGAGCGTTTCAATCCTAGGTGCCTCTTTAGCTGTCACTTCCCTTTAGATCTGCTGATCGCATGGGCATGTGCTTTAGAAAGATTAATCATCTCTAAACGCTTTAATCAGCTAAAATGACTAATATGTGGTGTGTATTTATCTGATAATATACCAGTTGCATTAATTCATGGGCGCGTTTGAGAGGGGAAGATTTTCCTTTAAACCAGGGTCGTTAACCATTTACTATTTTAAAGATATTGTGGGGATTTCTGAAGGGAACTGTTTTGCCAGGGACATCAGCAAACCTTGCACATTCCTTTGAACTTATGTATGGAATATAGTGAGCCGGGAGGGGAGAGAGATCCAAGGGCTGAGATGCAATAACTTTGAGAGTTTGCATGTATGAAAGATGTAGTGCGACACTGGAGAAATCTGCCCACTGGTATTTCCCCCGGTAGCCAATGCGGGCTACGATGGCTACAAAGCTAAAACTGCAAGCGAGTATGAAATACGCGTAGTTCGAAACACGGGTCCTACCGGGGAAAACATATGAAGATGCAACACCCTCAGCCTGTGTGCTCATGTTGCTGTGTGGTCTGCATGTGCTGTCCTCTTTATAGGTGGCATTTACCA